GCAGCAATCCTCTATCAAGGAAATCATGATAGGAAACACAAGCCCGGGAATATCGTATCAATTGGGAGATATATACTCCGTATGCAGGCGCTGCTGGAATGTTGCTACATAGAAATGGAAAGTTCACAATTGGGAAGCTGAAATCATCTCTTTTGTCGTAAAGTTTTGTTTTTAACCGACCCTCATTGTCAATTTCTAGATGTAAGTCAAGATATGAGGCAGACTTAACTGTATCTGTAGTATCCTTTATCTCTAGTTCGATGGGATAGATTCGTTCAACATAGTCACCAAATTTTGTATTATTTAGTGAGAGAACATCATCTATATAGCGGAACGTAGAGTTAAAGGATATTGCTAACTTCTTATCTTTCTTCCTAAGAAGTTCCTGTATGAAGTCAGCCTCATAATAATAAAGAAACAAGTCGGCAAGAAGAGGGGCACAATTGGTTCCCATTGGAATTCCGACAGTCTGTTGAAAAACACGTCCTCCAAACGTAACAAATATGTTGTCAATCGAGAATTCAAGCATCTTGATAATGTCAGTTTCAGAGAATTTTTTGTTTGAATCAGAGTGATTCTTTACAAAGTAGGATTTATCCCTCCCCAAGACAAGATACTTGTATCTACGTTCGCCATTCTTTTTAATGAAACAAAGTAATACCAACTCTTTCAATTTGTCTTTTAGTTTGGAATGGGGAATACTTGTGTAAAGTGTAGAAAAGTCAAATGTTTTAATACTATTGCAAGATGAGAGAGTCTTAGATTGTATGTACTCTAAAAGATCTTTGGAATTTTTTAGTATCCACATCTGATTCACGCCACCTCCTCTAGAATAGGCAGTTTCACAATAACTTTGGAGCCCGGCTTTGATTGCTGATAAAATAGATGTTAATAATTTAGAAAGAGGTTTCGTGGAGCACTTGGAAGACCCAGCAATATACCGTTGTTTGTAAGGACACTTATGTAGTTTAGGTATCCAAATTGCTTGCCGAGATATAGCCTTTTTGTGCTGATGCGACGTACGACAGTCACCAATCAATCAATCAATCAATAATGAGCAAATTGCTCGCAACAATATATCTGTGTTGTGCTGATGTGGCGTAAGGCAGTCTATAATCAATCAATCAATCAATGTTAGGCAAATTGCTCGCCGAGATATATCTTTGTTGTGCTGATGCGGCATAAGGTAGTCACCAATCAATGAATCAATCAATCAATCAATCAATGTTAAGATTTAGCCTTCTTGTGCTGATTCGGAGTTAGGTAGTCACCAATCAATTAATCAATCAATCAATCAATGTTAAGCAAATTGCTTGCCGCGATATAGCTTTGTTGTGCTGATGCGGCATAAGGCAATCATCAGTCAATCAATCAATGTTAAGCAAATTGCTTGCTGCGATGTAGCCTTTTTGTGCTGATGCGGCATAAGGCAATCACCAACCAATCAATCAATGTTAAGCAAATTGCTCGCCGAGATATAGCCTTTTTGTGCTGATGCGGCGTAAGGCAATCACCAACCAATCAATCATTGTTAAGCAAATTGAAAGAGCAGAAAAAAAAATATACTTAGACTGCATGTTTAGGTATCTGTTTTTATCAATTGTGGGTAAATTTTTACAGGTATAATACCACCAGGGTCCAAAGTCAGATAGAAAAGGATTATTATTTATATGTAGCTAAAGAGTCTTCCATCTTATATGTTCAATTTGACAGTTTTGAACATTCTGTAGAACATAAACTTTTGAATTAAGAAGAATTTTTCGGCATCGTTTATGAACAGTTGGCACAACTTAACCTACCAATTATGAAAGGTGACCAATCTGGACTTTAAATTGCAATCGACCAATTCTCTTTTTCATCTGTAGGATTTTTATATCTTCATACGTTTGAAACCTAAAAATATATGTAACACTCAGAAACGTGTCCATCACCCCATTCCCCAAATCGTGTCCATATGACGTCAATGAACTGCAAAACAAGGGTAGGTGCTAAACGGCACCGAAACGTGTCCTTTTGATGCTTTTGTTCTTTTTTGTAAATAATTGTTTGTTTTGATATTGTAACACAGTGATGACTGCTGTACCCATATTTTGACTATTTTATTTATAATGTCTGTTTTGTTCACACATCGTTGTAAATATAACGGAATTTGATAAGACTGTCGTACTAGTGAGAGGTTTAGCGCTATAAAACCAGGTTCAATCCACCATTTTCTACATTTGAAAATGCCTGTACCAAGTCAGGAATATGACAGTTGTTGTCCATTCGTTTGATGTGTTTTGTCATTTGATTTTGCCATGTGATTAGGGACTTTCCGATTGAATTTTCCTCGGAGTTCAGTATTTTTGTGATTTTACTTTTTTTGAAGAACGCCCAACATTAAATCCAAAACCTCGTGAAGGGAGAGTGCTCCCCCAACTGCATTTTAAGAACCCTCGCAATTATGCACTAAGGACATATTAGCTCTAACAATTGGACACGGTTTGGCGAATAACAATTATCGATCACGTTTGGTGATGTGAAATCGGACACGAAGGTTATAATTTAAAAGGATAATAATGTTGAAACAATATCAAAAGTTGGGACAACATTAATGTTTCGTCACACCGCACGTTCTAAGATTTTCATGATGATTCTTAGAATCGCATTAATTTAGATCGATTGTCAAAATATGTTTCCAATCTTAAAATGAAAATTTGATATCAAGTTGAAGACAAATCACTCTATTGTTTGACAGTAGCTCAGTATGTTTGCTAATTAGTTTTATGTTTCGGCTATATGGGGAATAGTGGTTATGCAGGTAAGGTACACTTAAAGTCTCGGTATGTGTAGATGATATATCTTTTGTTTAACCCTGCAATCAATATAAAAATAAGGAGATGTGGTATGATTTCCTATGAGACAACTATCCACCAAAGTTCAAATGAAGTGGATATAAAAAAAGAAATAGACAAAACTGTAAAAGTAACAACTATTAGTAAACAGCTCTCTCACAAGAAAAAAACACATAACTGTAAAATATAATGGCATACACTAAAAGCACGGGGACACATTCTACAGCATTCACACAGCACGAGCAACAAACTCTGCAACCAATATAAAAATAAGGAGATGTGGTATGATTGCCGATGAGACAACTATCAAACATGTCTATTAGAAGGTTATTTGGTTTTTGTAAAGATGAATACAATGGCTGTCTAATGATGTATGTTGATAATATCTTAATTGATGACAGTTGTATGGTCTTCTGCCTGTTTGCATAGATAGTTGAAATTTACAACTGTTACAGATGTTTCAGTTATGTGCAAATATTGTTAAGTCATAAAAATGTCAGCATCTTGGTAGTGTAGTTTTCTGTATAATGTATAGTGATTTTGAAAAGAATAAAAGGCAGAACATTCAGTCAAATCTATTTTCTTTCGCACGTACTTGATGACAGAGTGTGGTGTGATTCAAAATACCAAACCAATTACAAATATTAAAAACCTATTGGCCAGAGAACAATTGCAGGTCTTTTCACCTCATTTGCATCATGTTTTGAAATAAAAATATTTACTTTCGGTTATATTGCTATTCCGGTGTCAAAATAAATATTATCTTTTACTGATTGTTAATGGCAACTTTTTGATGAAATAAGGGATTTATTCATCCATTTCCGGTATACTAAGAGTCAATGCCGGTGTCAAATGATAACTGACTTTCCACTGATTTTAAGTTATATAGTTTCTAAACACTTTTGCTTTTAATAGGGCAGGTAAATTGCAATTTTCTGTTTACAAAATTTCACTTCCGGTTTCAAATGATATGTTACCTCACTCTGATTTCAACAATGTGTAATGCAAGGTATTTTTAGATGAAGTTTGTAAAAACAATTGCTATTTAAGGTTCAAAAAATAACTTCCGGTTGACCTTTATCATGGTCATATTTTTGCAACCTAATGCAAAAGATGCTTTGACTTTATCATTTGCCAATGTGCCGTAGGAGCAGAGGTCAAAATCTAGAACTCAATTTCAAGGTTATAAAGCACGGACTTCAAATATTAAGATCCTAGGTCTCTATTGTATAATAAATTATATTATCATATAGTTAATTTAAAAACAATTGTGGGGAGAAAACTCCAATTAGATATCAACGTAAACTTTCAATCAAAATTTAAATATTACAAAATGTCGCAAAAAACAATTACTTGAAAAAAAAATTTCTATACGGTTTCTGAAGAGTATTGATAATAAGCAACAGTCCAAATTAAGAACATGACCTTGGTCTCATTTTCTTTTTTTGTGGACCAATGACATCAAATAAAAAGACCTTATATCTCTATCCCTTGTGGCTTACCTGTTACAAATACATATCACTTATATCAAATACATTAACGGAAATAACTTTAATGCGGGGTCTCCTGATCGTTTTTGTCAAACACGTTTTCAAAGTGCTGAGGATGGTACGAGCAATTTCGAAAACAAATTGTCGGTTTCTTTTACGATTGCGAAAAAGCGGTTACATGTATAACAAAAAAACAGTGATCCGGGGATATCTCTTTCCAAAATAAAATAAACGTACGGATGAACAGGGTAAGATTCAACTGCTCAATAATTATGCGTTATATTGTATTGAAATCTTTCGAAACCAACATACCACGTAAGAAAACAAAATGTCGAAAGAAATGAAAAATAATAATCAGAACACATCCAAAAAGTCTTTCCACTATACGTGCATTGCTGTACTACCTATTTGTCAAATTACTATGAAATACTTAATGATTTTCAATCAAAATCTGTTCTTTAACTATATTGAACTAATTGAGACTGGATTAATTTTTTAGTAACTCCGAGTACGACGACAATGATGATGACGATGACGACGACAACGACGACGACGACAACGACAATAATGATGATGACGACAATGATGATGATCCACCAATAAAAACAAATGACCACAACGACAAAATCAAATGTGCTTAAATTTGGGTTAAACACCAACTAACAAAGAAGCAACAAACTGGTGACAAACCATTCAGTCATGTTTTTTTTACAATATGAAGAAATAATATGTAAGTATTCAGTAGATAACAAGAAACACTATTATAATCTTATGTATAATTCCATATGCTGACTTATTGTCCTTTGATTTTAAAGTTTGTTATCTTGTAGCTTTCTGTAGTTTCTCAGCATATTGTTTTAAGTTTGCTGGTGTTGAAATAAGAGACCCTGGAAATGGCACTTTCTTTTCAGCTCCACCTATCTTCAAAGCGTTGTAGACGGCACTGCAGCAATTCTTAAAAACGATGTGATACTTGTTGGTTGTTTTGAACTCATTCCACCATGTTTTAATAGCTGCCTCGTCAAGTTTTCCGGAAGGAATTTCGTATATAAAATCAGCTGGTTTTCCTTCCCATTCAACATCTTGTTCATACGAAGTTGCTGGTTCTGCTTCCACTGATTTCTATAAAATCAATGTACAGAGATCTACTTTATCATAAAATGGAGAATTATAAATTCATGTTGGTTTATACTGGAATGAATTGCAGTTTTGATCTTTGTCTGGAAAGTTTTTGTTTTTTGTTTGGATTAATGACTAAATTTCACGGAGATTCGTACTATTGATGTGTTTTGTTTTGTGGGCCGTTGTTTGTCATTATCCTTTTGGTGGTAGCAGGTGATATCTTTCCTTCTTAGACTGTATTTTCTTGTATGATCAGATACCAAATAAATACTATTTTTGATGAGCAAAGTGAATGTTCAACAGCGAATACTTAATAAACTCATCATATATATCAGGATTAAAATTTTGTACGCCAAACCCACGTTTCGTCTACAAAGGACTCATCAGTGAAGCTCCAATCAAAAACGTTAACAGTTCTCTAAGGAAAGCTACACAAGAAAATAGCGACTTAGATCCACTAAATGATTCATTATCACGCATTTTAAACATACATACAACAGCAGACGTTTTATTGTTATAATCTTTTTCTGCTTAACTGACCAGCGCACAAGAAACCACCGCCAGTTTCTGGTTGCTGATGGGGTCCGTAATATAAGTGTTGCGCATATTTTAGTTTCTGGTATATTGTTTGACTGTTTGTCTTTTTTTCATTTGGTAATGGTGTAGTAAATTGTTCTTCGACTTCAATAACACGATATCCATGTTTTCATCCCAGTACAAAAGTACTGGCTACGGAGCTGTTGATACCCTGGGTACTCACAGTCTACCAGCAGAAATATCAACCATGTACATGATGTAGTAGTAATAACATAAACTATACCAAATTTACTGCATCAGATGCACATCTCGCCAATCATTGTCTCCTCAGTGATTCTCGAAGACAAAATATTTGAAAATCCAAAACCTAATACAGACTTATAAAAGCTGATAAATCAAATCAGGACACTGCTTTGAATAGAAAGTTTGTTAATCTGAAATTAAACTCACCCATCTTTGGTTGGCAGATTTCGCTTTGTCTTCCTTGGGCCACCAGCTGATATGGGTTCCATTGCCTAGGGTCATCGATCCATGACCTACATTTCCTCCTCCCTCTGCCCATATGTATATCCTCAAGCCCATTGTAATTTAGCTGAAATAAAATTAGCTCTTGCTTGACATTAACTCATGACTCGCTCATATAACTTGATTCCTTTTACAAAATTTTTGTGTTATTGCTATTGCAATTTGATTGAAAAGACAAATAAACACATCATCAGCAGAAACGGATTCGTTCCATTCGGCGTAACCCCAAGCACCCGTTTTTTTTCATCGTATATGACATCACCAAATGCGCATTATCGGCTGTGTAAGTTTTCATTTTAGTTTTTCTTTTAGAGCAACAGTACTTACCCGATGTTCAATTCTTGTAAATCAATTAAGAAGAGACAAATCAAGGCGGAAACACGAAAACTTGAGAAGGTGCATGAACTCTAAAGTAGCGACGACATTGTAAACGTCTTTTGCTATGCATGCATTACGTTCCATGCGAATCCACACTCAGTCACACTCGGGAATTGGAAACAATCGGTACAATTACAGATCAGACGACTATACTTGTATCTTAAGATCTCAAACCACGAAAACTTGTCGCTAGTATGTAGTTCCGATTTCAGTCGTTCTTAAATCATAACTCTGTTTATGAGCAGTGATTGTGTAAAGAGCAGTACTGCCCTTTAAACGAAGTCCATTTGGTGAGAAATTGCACGAGTGTAACGTATTAATTGAGTTTTATAAACGGTATACGACGGAGCATTTCATGTTACTGCTGAGAAATTGGAGGTTGACAATTGGAAAATTGAATGTATCCCCTTTGTAATAGATTCTAGGTTTTGCCTTAGTTTTTAATGTTGTATTTTGTGAAGATACTATACTACACATGTTTGGAAATCTTGTTTTTGATTTGTACATTATATATATGTATATATATATGATGGTACTGAAAGTTAGCGTTAGATTAAATAGATATATGTTTTCGTAAAACTTCTGAATATCGTTAAAAATGTGTTAATAAAAAATAAAGAAAATTTGTATTTCCAGAACTTACAAATAACGATTCAGGGTTGCATTTTCAGAAAATAATAGGTAAATAGCTTCCTTGAAATAATGATTAAAATAAATTCACGTGCTACGTGGGGGGGGGGGGGGGGGGGGGAGAGAGTTTAAAAGAAATGATATAATGTACAGGAATGTTGCTTTTATCATGTTATTCACTTTGAAATGAGTTGGATAACATTGAAATGTATAACCAATATAACTTAAACAATTCAAGGTTTGTGTAAAATGCAATCATTATGTCAATAATAATTCAATACGTTTAACAATATTAAACAAGTACATTGTAGTAGTGCGATTCGCTGTTATACAATTAAATTAAGTACAGATTTGCATCTTTATTATATTTATTTAATTGATCATGAAGTCGACATATTTTCGGTATTATAACGATTGATTAGCGCAAATCAATGTAGTTGGAATACGTGATAGTATTAACCATAAGTTGCGAAACTTATTTCCATGCTTGTATGTTACAAAATATCGTCAAAGCTTATGTTACCCTTAAACTGAATGATCAGCAAATGTCTATGCTGATTGACATATGATAACGACGACGAAAAAAAAATCAATTTCATTTAACATATGTATCACTTTATGTTTGAGTATTAGTTTCAATTTTATAGTTAAATGCAGTCAATACCTTGAAATAAAAGTTATAGACTTTGAGTAGTAGGGTACTTCGTTATGAAGAAAGCTAACCCTCTTGAAAAAAATCTAAAAGATAACTAATCAAATGATACAAATAATTAATTCGCAAAATGAAATGAAGATTTTTACGTTATGATAATATAGTACAATTTCTGCAAACATATAAAACGAATATTGAGGAATTCTTTCATCAAAATTTCTTCACACTAATTCTATATTAAGAATAATAGTAAACGATAAAATTGCCTTCAATTATCATGTCTATTAAGCTATTAAAATACTTACATTTACTGTAATAAAGAATGTGAAGGAAGTCAACGCGCCTCACAAAAGTTACTTTGTACAGATAATAATGGATAATATAAAAATGAAAGTGAAACTACAAAATCCTTGACAACATAAGTTTGCGTCCTTGATATTATCATGATTATTGAATCGATGAACTATTGTTAAGTCAATTGCTTAGGATATGAGCATTGGTTTTATAAAATATCTAAAAATAGTAGTTAAAACCATGTAATCATGTTAGAATGTATATCATATTGTGTGTGGACTTTTGTTATTCTTTTCATCTTTGTTTATCTTTTGGCCATATCGGTTTCTGTTTTTCTGTCCCTTGTGCTTTTTGGTCCCCTTGGTATCTTATTATGCCATGACACTCACACACATGCACACCACACACAAACACACACACGCACACCACACACACAAACACAAATCCACTTCAAAGACACACATTATACACAAACGGTATCAAATATAAACCTGAATTTTTTTATACTTACGATATATTTGGTCACCATATTTCTTTTTGTATCATAAATTGTCCCGCAATAGCAATTGCAAAAATGTTATGGTGGCAAAGATACAATTTTATATGTAGAATATTGATATATTTTCGTCATTATATGTTTTCATATGAAAGCTTAAACACTGTAATCATTTATTTCAAACGCAATGTTATTTCTTCAAAATTTAAATTCGGTCATTTACAGAAAAAAAGCAGCTCAACGTGTTTGGGTACGAGTGAAACTTCATTACAATAGACTAGTGGTTATCTTTTTTGTTTTTAATTTTAACATTATAATGTGGTTCTGGACGTTGACGTTAAATTGTAATAATGTAATAATAATTTGTTTAGGAGTTCTTGCATTTCTTTCAGATTACGTTTGTTACCTTCATCATAGAAACAAATATAATAATTCGGATAATTAAATTTGTATTATGAATGACGATTTCTATATTATAAATATTAACCACCATTTCTGTAAACATATCAGAAAAATATCCAGAAACCATATTATCAAATTTGCTAACACCATTTGTTTACATAGCAGTAGAAAGATTACATTACCTGCACTTACATATTTATTTAAACACTCACAATTACTGTAGTGAACAATGTAAGAAACCGCGCCTTTAACAATTGGTGTTGTACAAGCATATATAAATGAAAGTAAAACTGCAAAGTTCACAAATTACATGGAAAAACTGTTTTCCGAAACAACAAAATGCATAAAAAGTCGTAAAAGAAACAATCTGTTATCAGGTTCATTCAATTGCTTCTCAGAGAAACAGAAGAAAGCATTTGAAGTTATTGCTTACATAAGGTTCATGTCTGCAATTTCTATTACAATAGACAATCGTCAACATCAGCTTTTGAATTTTTAACCTCTTCATCGGACAGCTATCTATTAAACATTTGTATGTTTTATCCATTAATAACATGATTAGAGGCGCAACCCGTCCACGGATATAGTATACGATTACAGTTAATTAACTTATTCAGAAGTTATGCCACAATCTTTTAATTGCAAATTATGTCAAACAAATGCATAATAAATAGGTTAATATCCGCCACATGTGGTGCATGATCTGCCTATTCTTTCAGAGCACATGATATCACCCCCTGTTTTTGATTGGGTTCGTGTTGCTCAGTCTTTAGTTTATTTTCGACTTAGGAGATTGAATGTCCCTTTGGTATCTTTTGCTCCTCTCTTGTATTTCATATATAGATATAAGAAGATGTGATATGAGTGCCAATGAGACAATATGCATGTACAATCTGGACATAAACACGAAAATATAACTTTTTGTAACACAGATCATGCATCCGGAGAACAAAATTATAAGCTTTTTTAGGACACAAGTTGTTTGTGTTTTAAGAAAATACTGAGTCAATTTGCTTCCTAAATAATATAATGATTCCATTGGTGCTCTAATCTTAGTTCTATTGCGTGGGATATGAGCACATTGAAGTTTTTTCGTAACATATCTTAAAATAGTTGCTTAAATCGTACGTATCCAGAATGTTTTGCATGCATGTAAAGTAATTTTCTCTTTACAAATCATGCAACTCTATGTAGGAATTGTATTTTTCAAACTTTAGTTCCCTGTATAGTTATTTGTAATTTTTTCTTAATTCTTTTCATCAGTTTCTTGTAGCCATAGTGTTGATTGTCCTTCCTTTCCATATGATTTCTCCCCTGCTTTGGGTATCTCCATGTTCCTGGCCATATGATTTCTCCCCTGCCTTGGGTATCTCCATGTTCCTGGCCATATGATTTCTCCCCTGCCTTGGGTATCTCCATGTTCCTGGCCATATGATTTCTCCCCTGCCTTGGGTATCTCCATGTTCCTTGCCATATGATTTCTCCCCTGCCTTGGGTATCTCCATGTTCCTTGCCATATGATTTCTCCCCTGCCTCGGGTATCTCCATGTTCCTGGCCATATGATTTCTCCCCTGCCTTGGGTATCTCCATGTTCCTTGCCATATGATTTCTCCCCTGCCTTGGGTATCTCCATGTTCCTTGCCATATAATTTCTCCCCTGCCTTGGGTATCTCCATGTTCCTTGCCATATGATTTCTCCCCTGCCTGAGGTATCTCCATATTCCTTGTCATATGATTTCTCCCCTGCTTTGGGTATCTCCATGTTCCTTGCCATATGATTTCTCCCCTGCCTGAGGTATCTCCATATTCCTTGCCATATGATTTCTCCCCTGCCTTGGGTATCTCCATGTTTTCAAGACTCACATACACAACAACGAACGGTATCAAATTTTAATCGGAAATTAATTTCATGCCAAAATATATGTGGTCACTATATATTTGATCGTATTATCAGTTGTTAAAAAAATTGACATTGCTAAAATATTTTTGCGGGAAATATACAAACATATTTTTTTAGAATATTATTTTGGCTAACTAGCACTGTGTCGATACCTTTACTGGTGGACTTTAATTCCCTAAATGTATCATCAGCTCGGTACCCTACGCAATGATATGATCTATAACTATTTTTAAAATCCCAGTTGATAAGTTAATGAACTATTAAAAATTAAGGTTCCAACACCCTCAGGCAAAATCGACCTTCGATTTCATTGATTGTTCTTTCTAGATCCCTTTTATTCAGATACATGTACCTCCTACGTTTGTACGTATTCATAAAATTCCGAAAACCGCATCATACAAACGAAACGTATATTACCATAAACGCTATCAATTTTCCTCCACTGCACAAGAAGCGCATTTCGAAAATAAATGTCTCTTCATGGATGTTCGAGGCCAAAATATTTGAAATTCAAATGTTTTAAAACAATTGAAGAGTTGATAAAACAGAAAAGGACAATAATAGCCAAATCCGGGAATGTAATCAGAGTTATGCATACGCATGAAGAGGGAAATATATTCCTAAATTCAAAATAATTTCAATTTGTAACAGCAAATTTCTATAACACAATATCTGTATTTTCATGCATGTACGGACGTACTGGCTACTAGGCTGATGACACTCTCGGGGACTAACAATCAACCAGCAGATGTATCAACCCAGTGGTAGTAATAACATAAACGGTACCGATTTTACTGCACCAGATGAGCATTTCGATAAAAATGTCGATTGATGCTCGAGGCCAAAATATTTGAAATTCAAATGTTTTAAAACAATTGAAGAGTTGATAAAACAAAAATGGACAATAATAGCCAAATCCGGGAATGTAATCAGAGTTATGCATACGCATGAAGAGGGAAATATATTCTAAAATTTAAAATAATTTCAATTTGTAACAGCAAATTTCGATAACACAATATCTGTATTTTTATGCATGTACGGACGTACTGGCTACTGGGCTGATGACACTCTCGGGGACTAACAATCAACCAGAAGAGGTATCAAACCAGTGGTAGTAATAACATAAACGGTACCGATTTTACTGCACCAGATGAGCATTTCGACAAAAGTGTCGATTGGTGCTCGAGGCCAAAATGTTTGAAAATCAAAATCGTATTCAAAAGTTGAAGAGCTAAAACAATAAAACGTGCAAAAGGAACAACCAAAGTCGGGCAAGGAATCATAGATTTGCGTGAGGGAGATATATTCCTTATTCTAAAATAATTTCCAAAATTTTATAACAGCAAATTTCAATAACACAATACCCATAGTTTCATGCCAGTACCAAATACAGATGATAAAAGTAATTTGCTTATCTGTTCCTAATATAAGATGAACAAAAATGCCAATAACTATTAAGTTATAACCAACAACTGTACCGAATTAGCATAGGCTTTACAAAAATCGTACCTGATACCAAAGTCCTTGCGTACATGCATTTGTAATGGTTAATGTTAAAAACTTTTGCTACTATCTGAATTTGTTGGTGTAAGCTAGCTCCTTCAAAATTTCCGTATTATGATGACATAGATTGGCCTGTATGTAATTTTTGATAACTGAAATCAAAATTAAAAATAAAATATAAAAAGGAAAAACCCCTAACACTCGTTGTAAAATGAAAGTAAAGTAAATATGTTTGCATTTTCGGAAAACACTTTGGTGTTATTAAAATAATGCTTAAAATAGATTATTGTTCTATTTTTAGCGCAAATCCACTTTAGACTGTTTATAATATTAGAGGTGGAACCGTTATTACTGAAGTAGTATACATCGTTGCAAGACATTTTAATGAATTAAAGATACAAAAACTAATTAATCGATAATACGAAAACTACTTATTAAATTAGCAAAATAACGTCGTTTTCTACATATTGAAAATTTCCAACACACACGAACGGTATACTCCAAATTCCCAAATGAAGTTGATGTAAGAAACTATAGGTCACATTATGGCTTCAACAATGAGCAAAATCATTACAGTATAGTCAGCTTTAAAAGGCCTCAACATGCAAAATAATTTGATTAATTCCTAAATAAAACCCTTACAGCCTTCTTAACTAATCGACTTGCATAAAGCAAAGCAAATTTACAGAACAAATATATCTTTTGAAAAAGTAATCGCAAATCAACTGAACAACTTTTCGTTTTATTTATTTATTTTTTTTTTTTAATTTTCTGTGTTCTTGTATTTTATTCATCCTCGTTAAGAAAAAAATAAGAAACTCGTTAAAAAATTTTACGGATAAATAGGA